AATTTACACAGGGGGAAAAAACCTTTTTTATTACCTGTCTTCATTTTTATGGTTGGGAAAAAAACAAATGAAAATTCTACAGTAAAACGGTAAATTGTCCCAAGTCAGCATCTAAAAATGTCATTGATATCTTTTTTAGCAAAAGCACCTAGCTACTATTTTTATCTTAGATGTGGTACAGATTGTACATGGTGCAGATTATACACTGGGGAACAGTTTTCAAGGGTGTGTCATAAAACATGGAAAAATTAAAATAAAAAAGTAAAAATTTCAGTGAAAATGGAAACTTGCACAATCTTAACTCTAACTAGTCATTGCAAGACATTAATTACAATAAATGTTCTACTAGAGAATAGTGTGAGCCACAGGCAACTGGGGAGCTGATTTTCAGACAAGAATTCTAGACTACAGCATGCATGTAAGTGCTAGAAAAGGAACACTATTAAATGATCAATACATCACAAATACCAAATTTGAAAAAAGCTTTAATAACTGAATTGACATGCTGGGCTGGGTAAGGGAAGGTAATTTATTGTAGCATTTGGACTGATGATAGGATTTACACTCACAACAGATGGCAACACATTTTAGATTAAAAAGTATGTGAGAGATTTGATTTCCCTTGGTTTTGCTATCCTCCCTCAATTCTTAGAAATTTCCTTGGGATCCTTATTACTCCTCATTGCATTGTACTGCTCTTTCATTCCAAAAGACAAATAATTACCTTTTTCCCTTTTGGAAAAACATAGCAGGAAAACTCTACTGTATGAATTCTGGGGGTTTTTTTCCCCAGAAACTGAAGAAACCCAATGGAAGGTCTATCTCAGCAATGAAGATGGCTGCTAGCAAAAGTATGCTTCTCAGGTGTTTGAAGATGTGCAAAGTTAATACAATTAGTATTATTCTATTGGTATTATATTACTATTAATATTATCTGCTCTTAATTGTAATTAACATAATTTGGATGCCTGAACCATGGCTACTTTGGTATAGCTTGCTTCACTTTCATCAAGGTATCAGCTTTGTTGATGTAACTACATCCACCACAGGAGAATTTTGTGTACTTCTATCTCCACACTGGTTGTACAATCTTAGCATAGATGTCCCTAACTGGGGCCAACATTTCATTTAAAAGTAGCCTTTGTATCAAGACACATACAAATAATAATAATAATCTGAATTTAAGAAGTTGACTCCTGAGACAAACAATGTTTGAAAGGCCTCAGCACTTTTAAGAATGACCCTTTTAAACTGTGCACCAAAAAGGTTTGTAATAAAAAAGGAGAAAACTAGACATTGCAGGACTTGACTTTGGATAGGAAGAGATAACCTTGAACTGAAAATAAACACTTGTTCTCTTTGTATCTCAAGAAAGGGCATTTATGGTCTTACTGTGGAAGTGGATAACACCGAGTCACCTTAGTGGTGAAATTCCTACAGCATTAAGCCATGGAACATAAATGGAAATGATGACAGACTGCTTTGATTTTCTGAGCATAGACATGCACTGAGACAGTCACCTGAGTGAAGAGGCAACTATTTACTTACTTATTTTAATACAGCTAAACATTTAGAGCCTTAATTTGTCCAAGTTCTGAGAGGGATTTGACTGCACTGCCCCTGGACCAGGCATCTTCTCCAGCCTGCTCCTCCAGCAGCAGGCAACTCAAAGAAGTCTCCCTGGCTGTACTTTTTTCTGTTAAACCCCATGATCAGTCAGTATAATTCACCAAATGCCACAACTTACTATTTCATTCCATCTGCAGATGTACTTGGTAATCATTTCATATTTCCTTCCAGGTAACTGACAAAGCTGTTGAGCAGCATTATGCCAAGAAGAGATTCGTGTGAGTTCCCACTACAAGTAACTTGAGATGAATACTCCCCAGCTATAATCACTTTTCAAGATGTTTCTATTATGACCCATAAAATGACCCATTTTTAATCCATTTGGTAACTCTGGATTACACTGATTTTACTCACTGTTATTTTGGTTTTAACCACTGTGTCAACAAGACAAAATAAATGTCATAAAGTATATAATAAATGTATAAAGTCTAAGTGTATTAATGTCAGCACAGCTATCTCTGTCAACTTAATTTCTGATCTTGGAAAAAGCAGTATCAAGTATGTTTGACAAGGTCTACTATCCACAGAAACTTGCTGGCTGGCATTTAGCATGATGTCATCCCTTCAGATTTGCTGGAGATATTTAGTCTCAGCCTTCCAATGATTGTCCTTGACCTATAGTTACCTGGATGATCTTGTTTAACCTTTAAAAATTCTGGCACAACATTTGCTTTTTCCAGTTCACTGAAACTCCTCTCAGGATGCCAAGTTTTGTTAAAAAGCAACAATAATGGTTTAGACAGTTCAACTCTACTAACACTCTCCTGTGCAAGGTTTCTGGTCTGACAGAAAATTAAGGAGGAAATATATAGTTACTGAATTTAATTTCTAACTTCAAGTTTACAAGAGCTGAACTCCTACTAGAATCACCTGCCAGCATTTTTATAATGAAGTGTAGAGCCCCCTTCAGCATCTTTGCTACAATGCTTCAAAGAATCTCAAGTGTTTCTGTACCTCAAAGATGCAAAATACATGAAATATTATAGGGACATTTTGCTTTTTATATACTTATTCTGCTATATGTATCTCCTTTGTTATTTCTCTCTTCCACCCACCATTTGTCTACATTTTATGGGAAAACCTGAAAGTTTGACACGGTAAGATTAAAGGACAGATACATGAAAAAAAAGAAGTGAACTTTTGCATTGTCTTGTAAACAACATTCACAGTTTTGTCTGATAAAATTTTTAGAAGCTTTGCATTAGGCTAATGTTAACAAATAATCAGTAATAAGCCTATTTTTGGCAAACTCCTTAAGCTGTAGGGGTTTGAACTCAAGACTGTATTTAAACACTAGCCCTTTAAATCTGGCTTGCATTATTTCTGAAGCTATGGATTAATTTCATTTTCTGTTGCATCTTATGGCATTTTGAGTAGCAGGTGGAAAGCCAAAATGCTGGAAAAAAACCAGTGACTGAAAAAAAAAAAGTTTCAAACTAAATGTAAGAAGCTTTTTTAGCAGATTAGTGGATTCATCATTGGTTACAGCTCTAGTCTGCTGAACGGAATTCCTAACAAACTGTCAGGTGTATCTACTACATCCATATCTAGCATCCTGATTTCAATAATCTCAGTTTGAAACATATTTGAATATTTCTTCAAATATTTCACCTCAATTTCAACTCTCTTATATGTGTAGAATACAACAGAACAGTGGAAATACAATGTCTTTGTGAACGCCTTCAGTGTGGATTAAATAAAAAAAATTTTTGAACCTCTAGGTAAGAATGTAAGAGCATTACCATAAATATATAAATCTGCATGCAAACTTCCCTGTAAAATGGCAAAGTGATTGCTTGCTTGCAGGAGATGTTAGCTAGAGTAACTTTTTCCTGACATTTGGTTGATCCCACCATTCTTGATTGACTTTTTAAAGCCTCCTCAATTAATGCACAACATAACTCACCTCCTGATGTATCAAGAGGAATAAAAAAGGTTGTTTTTTCTTCACATCAGGAAAAGCTGCTGTATTAATACACTGTTAAGTGTATTAATAAAACATAACAATTAATAAAACATAACAATGTAAAATAACTTCAGGATTCTTTATGCTTTGATTACATCCATTGGTGCACTGCTCTAATGTCTGAAAGCTCTTTCCAGTGCAGAACACAATGGCTTATTTTTAAAAATAAACTTTTTCTGGGTGAAATTTTAGTTTTGTTAGTTCCTCTTTTTCTTTCATCTGTTTGCACACCAAATCTAGACAACTTTTTGTAAGCTCCCTTATTAGAGCGTGTGAGACAACAGGTAACACAGGCCAGCTATGGACTCTCAACTGTTTTAAAAAATCAAACCCTAAAGAAGTATGATAAACCTTCTTAATTTAAGTGGAATTTTTTTGCGTAGGGATTCAGTTTCCTGGTATTGAAATAGTCTTGCAAACGGAAGAAACAACTCAAAATACTGTATCTAATGAATACCAGTTACAGTGACCACCCAAGCAGGCTAAGGCAGTATCTTCTACCTGCTGGGATTCTGGTTCTCTGTACAAGACATCCCTTGGGTCTTGAGGGCTTAATCTAAAACTGGCTTCAAGTCTTCTGACAGGAAGACATCTATTTTCCACTGATTTTTTTTTTGTTTGTTTATTTCAGCATGTGAAACATAAAATCTTTTTAGTGAATCATACTTTTACTTATACAAAACATAGGGTCAGTACCAAGTAAACTGTGATGATGGTTACAAATCCTTTGTCAATGTTTATCAGCTCCCCTATCATCTCTACACAAAGAGAATGTTTTGAATTAGCTAAGAAACTTTCTACTTCTTGCAGTCAAAGAGTGGAAAGAAGACTATGAATATGAAATAAACCCCAAAATATAAGTTTCAGTTTAATTTTTTTAGAAGATTTTAAAGCCCCATGGCATTTTCCAGTATGAAAACAGGTAGAGGTGGAAGCGGTATTGAGACAGAGCCATGATGACAATTGTGCAGCTCAGTTTACATACATAATTACCATAAGAATGATTTAAAAAATCAGAAACTTGCACCCAATTTTCTCTTTAGCGCCAACATAAACCAAATGTAAACAATTTCAAGTAGCTAAGAAAAAAGATACAACATATATGTACTTTTTGCCTGTGCTGCCAAAAATGACTTTGGCTGACATAATTACCTAAGCATTTATTAACATAATGTTATTTACTTCTTGTTTTGCCGAACTGCAATATTTATTTTGTACCTGTGCAAATTTGCACTTTCATTACTTTCTAGACCACAATTTCAAAGAAATAGGGGTTTGTGCAAGAAATATGTAGTCTATCAGTCCGAAACACTCAAGGCAGCATTCCTAGAGCAATATCAAGCAAAAAGGCAATTTCCCCATTTCATTTACGACCAGAAGTTATGAAGAAAGACAAGGAATTTACCCGATTCCTGGAGATAGCGATACACCAAGAAATTCACTTCGTCACTGGTTATGCTCATCTTAGCCCAACCTCAATATTATGAGGTTTACGAGAAGTGTGATCCACGCTCTGTTCAAAGGGAGAGAAAAGAACAGGTTTTGTTTTATCTTAATTTACTATGAAATATGTTATCAAAACAAAAGTGGGAATTGTTGAGGTATTTAAAGATGTCATTAAGTTATTAGAGCTGTAAAGCCCCAATGTGAGGCATCTGTTAAATATTGCGAATCAAGTACTCAAGCTGTACTGCACCTTTTAGAACAATTCAGGAGCAGTATTTAAAATACATGAGAAAGTCAGAGGGAACATTTTAAATACTGGATGACTCTTCTAATGTCAACTCCTTTACTTGTATGGCTTTACTACAGGTTCTTCGAGACTTCTCTTTACTATGTGTTTTCAGAATTGCTGGCAATTACAGTAATGTGTAATGATAATTACACACTAAATGATAATATTTTTGCAGCTCTGAATTTGTAATCCAGTTTTTTGTCCAGTTGTTCATCCACTGAAGACAGATTCTTTCCTTACAAAACCATGTTATGCAATGAATGGGGCAGGAGGGGAAGAGAAAGAGAGAGAACACCATATACCTTGAGCCAAGGAAGACAAATATCCTTGCATTATATAAAGCTGTATTATATAAAGTAATATTATAATGTCTCTGTTGATTAATGTTGAGCAAAAATTAAACTCCAATTTTTCATTTAAGTAATTGCAACCTTTAGGATGATGGTTTTACATTACTATTTTGGGCATACACTCTGGTAATAAAAACACTGGGTTTAGATGATAAATTTGTTTTGAGCACTTTCCATTAAATCTTGATGATTCATTCCTGTTTGGGAATCTGACTTAAGTAGTTTGGTTTTAAAAGACCTGCGTACTCCTCAGACATAAACTCTGCAGCTGTGTCAGCCACACCATACCTGTAAGTGATCACATACAGCTTTGGCCGCAGAGACGCACACTGGGCTCGCACCACGCGCTACAAATGAAAGAGCCCGGGCGTGTGCCGGGTGTTTGGATTTCCCGTGTGTCTGTTCTTGGCAAGTGGAAAGGTCGTCTTTGTTCGTGGGAAACCTCTTCAGTAATTCCTGCTGCCTAAAGTAGCACCTGCTACTGCAGGCAATGGTGATCAACGACACTTCCCCTGCTGATGGTTTAAACCAGCAGGTCACTCATGACTGTAACAGATGTCTTGCATATTTATGTAAATGGAGGTCTTTGGAACCCTGGTGAGCCTTTTATTATCCCAGGCTATATTTCATCAATAGCTTGGAAGCTGGTTTTCCATCTGAAACCATAGCTTGCTAATTTGGCAGACATCTTCCTCAATATACTTGAGTCTTAATTGTTACAGTCATGTCTTAATTGTTACAGTTTGCATTTCATGGAGAACAAGAAGAAACAAAGTACTGAAAACCATTTGGTCTCCCTTAGGAAAATTTCATCTCCTCTGGAAAGAATGAATGCTTTCTGGATGAGGACAGCATCGGCTGTATCCAACATCCATTCCTGTCACACATGCCATGTATTGCCCTGGGAAGCCACTCAGGCTCTTTTCTCTTCAATCCCTCATCTGTAAAATGGGCTCAAACTTCACTGCCCTGTGACTAGGAGACCGGAAGCACCGAAAGTGGTAAGTACTGAAGTTATCATGACAGGCTGTGAAAGCATCACTTCCAGTATAACTTTATACACCTTTCTTCCAGATAAACAGGCTTGGACCTGAATAATTAATAACCTCCTCTGCCCTTTTTGCATAATCATTGCCATACAATGAAGAACAGGACAGACACTCTCAGCAACAGTTTAAGGTCATTTTCATCTCTGAGTGCTTAAAATACATCTGTATCGTTGCTATGGCCATGATAGTAATAAATCAAGAGAATTTGATAGCTGTGGGTTGAAAAAAAAAAACCACCACTTTTTAAAGCATTTTAAAAATAGCTGCTTCAGTGTTTGGTGGTAGGAAAGTTGGTAAAGATGAAACCACTTACAAAAATTCAGTTTCAGCAATGACGTACTCTGTGGTAAGATGAACTTTATTAAAAAAAAAAATCAAAAAACATAAAATGCCGTTTCTGGGTGCATCCTGACAATTTTAGACATTAACACTGTATTTCCCACATACACGGGGCTGCTTTGGGTAAGAGGAAACAAGGGAAAGGAAGAATGCTAGGTTTTCCTTGTTTTTCTAAAGATGACTTTTCTTAAATTAATTAAAATCAGAGAAAATCAGTGTGATTGCAAAATAGTCTCCCAGTTCCAGAAATAAAATCCCTCTATAGCAGCTACCTTCATATCAGAATCCCAAGTACACCCAGTAACAGTTGGATTTACAATGCATTTTCTCTGAAGTCAGTCAACAGGAATTACTATGACATGTGTCAGATGATATCTTTATATATACATTGTTACCAATGCCACAATCTCCACTCATGTATTTAAGGTTCCTTCTCTCCCACAGATGCCAATGTAGCAATCAAGATACACAACTGTAAAGCTTTTACTCATCCAAATCAAGACACAGAATTTTGGCTTTTACCCAGAGAAATCTATTCATTAGAAATTTGGATGACCACACTCAATTTCATTAATGCTCTTTCTGATTCCCTTCTTCTCTGCAAATAAACAGTCCAAATAAAAGTAGCTAAAAAAGACGCGGTGGGGAGGAGAGGAATATCCTTGTCTTTTGTGTATCTCTAAGACTGATTCATAAAGAACAAACAACTAGCCTCCCCCTCAATATATTTTTTTAAACATAGAAATGTAAACTCCTGTAGGAAGTCACAGAAACTTTCAGTCACCACTGTGATAGATTTATTCCTGCTAATTGATGGCCTCCTTTTGTTACTGACAACTGATATTACCTAGATTAATAGTTTTTTAAAATATATGAAGTGCAGTTTATAAACAATACTGATGTGGCTTTGGAGACATTTCACATTTAAACCAGCAATAACATCTTAATTCTTCAAAATGTCAAGAGGATTAACAAAAAGCATTCAAACGTGTTTGAACTTTCTTTACTTGAAACACTTTCTCCTGAAGCCAATTACATGTAATGGGAAGTACTATTTACTTCAACCTCACTTTAAAAATCTGGCTTGTGACCCTGCAGATATTTAAGAATGTCCAAACATGTGACTTGAGCCAATTACGACTTCCCAAAGTAAAATGGATGAAAAACATACAAACCCCGTGAGTGGATGGGATGGTTTGTCAAGATCATTCAAAATTAAATGTAACACTTATTTTAAATAAACATTCAGCTCTTCGTTCTAGCAGGACAGGTTTGCAGAAATGCTTAACATATAGGGTTAAGAATTTGGGACGTTACTTCAACACCACCACTGTGCTCCTAGGGCTGCTTGTCTTTTGCTGAACCAAATGGCTCACCTGGTGTTCACTGGCTCCAGTGAAGCTAAAACTGCAGCACACCTCCCTGTGCTCCATGCAGTCAGGACAGCCTGCTTCCCAGAGTAACCACAGGACCTGATTTGTGTGTGCACCAACATATCACTGTTCTCAAATTAAACCTCCCTGGAGCACTGGGAATCCTGCTAATGGGCCATGCACGTGGCTCTGGAGAAGGCAGCCTCACTTATAACCACGGTTCAGCACAGTGATAGCCAGGTCAGCTGAGAATAGTTTATTTACATACCATTATCCCTTTACTCAAAAGGATTGCTCTTCCTTTGCCAGGCACATTTTAGCACTGCTGCCATAAATTAGGGAGATCTGGCTGAAGAATCAAGGGAAGATGGTATTTTCAATTTTGAAATAACATCTGAAGCCTCAGCTCCTCTGCCTCTTTTCTAAATGATGGGCCCTCCAGGGCCATGTCCTGCCCTCCAGGCCAACCCCAGGGAAGGGGACAGACAAGGTTATTTTGGGAAACAAGTTTACATTTGCTACTTGAACCAGCATGCCATCCATAGAGACTGGGAATTACCATTCAATCTTCCCCTCAGGAAAGGAAACAGGTCAGACATTTAGGGAAAACACCTAAACTAAAACCTAAACCTGAGACCTAAATAGGAACTTGGGTACTTCCCATTTCTGCATCCGACCCCACTGACAGAAATTTATCAGATGGCTGGTCATGCCCTCATCTTACACCTTGAAAAATTTTGCAAGCTCCAGTCTGCTTTAACTGAGTGCTGAGCAGTTGTCAGCTTCTTGGCAGGATTTTTTTTTGGGGTCACTATGGTATAATAAACACTTTCCCTTTCTTCCCCTTATGCCCCCCTTGTCTCCAAACCCTAGCTGAAACACTCAAATTTTCATTTATCTCCTGCAGGGGCCAAAATGTCTTTTCACAACTGGAACATGACAACAACATTGTCATTAAAATGATAAGAAGGTGTGAAGGGAAATTGTGTATTTGCTTTTGGTAAAAAAAGGCAAAAAGCAGAGGTTTCATAAAAATGAAAACATTCCAGAAAGTTCACACGCTTAATGCTGTTGACTTGATGCCCTGCTGTATGGGAAACAGAGCTCACACTTATGATCCCATTTTCTCACCCAAGATGGATCTGTGCACCAAAGTGTATCTCCCAGGACCCAATACAGTCTCCCCATCTCAGAGAAGGGAATGTGAATGTAATTACCAAAACAGACTCTAGGAAGGCACCGTGACAGCACAGCCAAATCAATGTGTAACTGTTTTGTATATACTCTGTAGCTTAATGAGAAACACTTCCCAAAGCCAGAAGCCACTTCTCACAAAATGAGTCATTTAAGCAATCTCTGTATTTTCTGTTGAAAAATACTTTCATCAGAAACTTTCAATGAGTCCTACGCTTCTGTATTTCTCGGATGTGTCGTACCATAGAGCCAGAACAGTCAGTAGCCAGCAGCTCTTCCCCAAAGGCTACCGAGCTCTGCTTGGCCCTCACCAATGCATTCCTCAGTCTTGGCTTTTATCACAGCTGCCTCTTCTTGTGGAGAAACTCCAGCATGCTGCTTTCTCAAAATGCCAAACCAAACATCTGGGAGAGAAAAAGAGCACACTCTGCCTCTTCTTCCCTCACAGTCCCTCCTGCCATTTCATGAACCTA